TACCTAATTATAGTATTAGCTAAGTCCTCTGTATTTCTATATTAGTAGAGAGAAATACCTAGAGAAACTTATAATAAGCTAGTATAATTATTAGGAAGAATATAGCGGATATAAATATATATTCTATAAGCCTTAAGTATCGTTAGCTTCTAGAAACTAAGGCGTTAATTATTACTATTTAATACTTCTCTGTAGTAGATTATAAGATTAATATATTATTAAATTATTATATTAAAAAGGTTTATAGTAAAGATATTATTAAATACCTTATTTAATAAATTAAATATAAATCTTAGCATAATATTTAATATTATCTAAAAGATCTTAATACTGTATTAAACCTAGTAAGAGAATATAATAAATATTTAAGCTTAATTATATTAAAAAAATAGCGTAAGAAATAAGTAATAATAAGTTATAACTAATAGCTTAAGTAAGTATAAATAAAGACTTAAACAATCTCTTAATAATAATCTAAGCATTACTTAAATATACTGCTTAAAGAATTATCCCTTTAAAAATATTATATCTAGTCTCTCTAGTAAATATTTAATTCTTATATACCTTATTATATAATTAATATATATAATTATATTATTATATTAATACTATAATACGCGATATACTATTATTTAAAACTTATCTATTTAACTATATTATTTTACTTAACGCTAGTATTATTTTATTAATATAATTATATTACTTTATTTAATACTAGTAGCATTTTATTTCTTTATAATAAAGAGTATTATTATCTTTAAGATCTAGTAGTATAATAATAAGCTAGGTAAAAAGCTAATCCTTATATTAAGGTACTTAGATATAAATATATTTAATATATAGAAGCTAATAAATATACTTTAAGACTTAGTTACTTATAGCTATTTACTAGAATATATTAAGCTATATAATATATAGGTCTATATTATTATTAAAACTATATTATTAGCTAAGCGCGCTACTAAATAGCTATATAATTTTATAGCTTAAGGGTATATATACTATATTAAAATCTTAGCTAGTTTAATAATCTAGTTAATAGAAAATAATATAACCTTCTTTTTAATTTATAATATATATTATACTCTCTATAAATTATTATATTAATATATAGGAATTTAGCTATTAAGCTTAGAATAATATATAGCTTAAAACTCTATCTTCTTATTTAATTCTATATTAATTCCCTAGTTTATATATATAGATACTTTAGTATTAATATATATACCTCTAATAATAGCGCTAAGTAAACTATATATTACTTATTAAAGAGATTTATAGTAATATAAGCTAAAATAAAAGGTAAAGAACTATAATATCTATATTAATATACTGCCTAAGATATAAAAATAAGAGAAAAGCTAAGAATAGCTAATACTATAGACTAAATATATATAGCTATTATTATAGGGAATTATTAATATTAAGAGTAATAATACTAAGAGTAATAAAGATATAAAAGATATTAAAAAGTAAAATAATAAAAATAATAATAATAAATAATATTAGGAGTATTTAAATAATAATAAATACCTAGAGAGTATTAATAGCTTTAAATAATATATAGATACTAATAAAAATAATAATATAAAATATAAACCGCTTTAATAGTATACTTATCTAATCTTATTCTAAATATTAATATTAATATTTATTCCTATAAGATAATTAGCAAAGCTTTTAAATATTATTAATAATATTAAGGCAGTAAAAGTATAGTATTAGAGATATATTCTTAATATTTAAATATAAGTATATAGTTTACTATCTATAGTAGATAGAATAGAATAAGTAATATTAATATTTATCTTCTTATCTATATTAAATACTATACTTTCGCTTAAAATTAAGATAGTATTAAATTAGGCAATAATAGATATATAATATATACTAGTAGAGATATATAGTAAGTAGAGCGAGAATATCCGCTTTAAAAAAAAGAGAGCACCTTAATACAGATCTATATCTAGGCTTAGTATAGAGGGTTAGTCAGCATAAGATAGTAAATACTTAGTTATCCTTATATAATTAGTAAGAGCAGTTCTTACAAATAGAAGAATAACTTCTTCCCCTCTTTATCTCTAGCTTTAGAACCCTAGGTTTACTATTAATAAAGTTCTCCTTATATATATAGAAAGACCTTAATTATTCTAATAAAAATATATTATTAGTATAATTTATAGAATTAATAAATAATTAGAAAATAAATATATTTATTCTTTAACTCTAATATCTAATTATATATATTTATATAAATTAATTTTAAAATATTTTCCTTTTACTTATTTATTATACTTTTCTTATTTTTAATATTAGCTATAATATAAGTTATATATTAATAGTTATTAATAACTTTAATTAATTTTTTTAATATTATTTTTTTATATAGGCTTTTAATCTTTTTAAGCTTAAAATAATTAATTTACTTATATTAAAACTAATATTTCTCTTAAATTTAATCTCTTATAATTTTTTTATAAAAAAAATTTATTAAAATATTTTAATTTATAATTATTATTAATAATCTTAAAAAAGGTTTTTTTAAAATTATTTTAAGAAATAACTATAATATAATAGACTTAATCTTTCTTATATATAAGCTAGTTATATATAGTAATATATAGCTTTAATATTAAATCTAGGAAAATCTTTTTTATAATATAAATTCTATATTTAAATATATCTTAAATTATAATATAATTAGATCTATTTAATATAAATATTAAACTAGTATTAAAATAATTATATAAGTTAAATTATTAATAGAGTTTCTTAGTTAATAATAGATTTACTTTAAGTTTTAGAATAAATAATATATTCTTTAAATATATAACCTTTTTATTCTATTTATTTAATATAATAGTATCTATATATTTTATATATAAAATTCTTTCTCTTACTTAAATATACTTTCTCTTAATTTTTATTAATAGTCTTTTAAAGTAGTAAGTCTTATTAATTATATATAAACTAATACTAATTATTAATATACTATTAAAATAGATTTTTATTAATTATATCTTTTAATAAATAAATAATTTTATAAGAGATTTAATTATTTAATATAATTAAATTAAGCTTTAAATATAATAACTTAATATTAAAGATTTCTTTTATTTTATAAGTCTTTTATTTTCTTTTTTAAGATCTTTCTTTTTTTAAGAATTAGATTTTTTAAAATAGCTTAGTTATTATCTTTATTAGTTTCTAGTTTATAAATAAAGATAAGCTCTTTAAAGATTTCTTTCTCTATCTTTAAGTATTTTAAATAGCTTATTAAGCTATAGATAATTATAAATAGTCTTTAATAAAATAATTATTTTTATATATATAGTATTTAATAAGTTCTTATTTTTTTATATAGAATATATTTAATAGAGAAATTTAAAATTTAGCTTTTATCTCCTTAAGAATAGCTAGAATATCTTCTATTTTTAAATATTTTTAAATATTAATTACTATTCTAGTAATAATATATTTATTAAATAAATTAGAGAATAAATATTAAATCTTAGCTTTAAGTTTAGCTAAAGAAAATATAGTATTATTATAAACTATTATTTTCTTTTTTATTTATTATAATTATCTTTATATATTAATAATAATCTATTTAAGTATTATTTTAAAATTAATAAATAATTAAATAAGTTAATATTATTAGGTAAATTAAGTCTTTTTATATTATTTTTTAAAATAATCTTATAATGCTTTAGTAATAGTATCTTAAATATATTTATCTTAATTATTCTTAGATAAATATCTTATAATCTAATATTATACTATTATATTATTTTTTTCCTATAATAAGTTATTATCTTATTATTAATATTTAATAATATCTTAATAATTCTTATTAATAAGCTATTTTTTATATAAATAAACTATTTTTTATAATTTTTTTTTAGAAAAAATAAGAATTAATCTTTTTTTTAGTTATTAAAATTATTAATAAGAGATATTCTTATCTATATATAAAGTAATTTAGTTAATTCTCTAATTATATATAAGATAATTTAGTTAATTCTCTAATTATTAATAAGTTTTAATACTTATTAGATTTAATATCTATAGAGTAAGTATTAAAATAATCTTATTATAATATTTCTTCTATAAGAGTATTTAATAGCTATTATTTTAAATCTTATAATTTTAATAAAGAGTTTTATACTGCTTAAATATTTATTTTCTTAAGTTCTTATTAATTTAAGCTTATAACTAATTAAAAGAAATAAAAATAAAATAACTTTTTATACTAGCTTTAAAAAAAATATATAACTTAGAATAAGAATAGAGTATAAGAAATAAAACTAATACTAATATATCTTTATACTATAGTTAGTTAGTTTTTTATTAAATTAGTTAAGTTCCTCTTTTAAGCTAATATATTTAATATAAAAACTCTTTTACTAGGCTAATTATTCTTTATAATTATATATATAACTATTCTAGACTTTCTTATAAGAGAATTCCTTATATATTCTCTCTATAAACTGCTAGTTCTAACTACTATATTGTAACAGAGGGCATTTATTATAGATATAGCTTTACTATAATTATACTGCCTACTTAGTAACAGTAGTATTAAACTGCCTTAATAGCTACTTAGTAGTAGTATTCCCCTAGTCTAGAGCAATTAACCTTCTTATATTTCTCTCTTATCACGGCTACGCTGTTATAATAAGCGGGATAAATACTTTAACAGAGACGTACTTAGATTAAGCCCTAGAGAAAGAAATATAGCTTTAGAAGTTTAGATCTTTATCGCCTATTATTATTACCAGTCTAAATACTGCAGCTACTATTACCTTAAATAATACTCCTTATCTTAGGCTATATATAGTTTAAAGAAATTTCTCTTTTAGGCAGCGGGAAGGCGTAAGTAGGCAGCAGCAAGGACAGCAATCTTACATGATGACGGTTATAGACGACTGCAAACAAGTGTAGAAGTCACATGATGACACTGGTCATAGTTAGCAACGGAATACGACAAAGAAAAAAGAGAAAAAGTGTTCCTTATTCAATCTTGACTGGGTGTATTTTCAGGATTTCATCTTCTATGCAGATTTACTGAGACTATTCATACAACTGCAAGAAATAGTGACTTTTTGATATACTATCAGATCATATTCAAATATGCCCCCCACATCTCAGAGTCGCTCTCAGCGAACTGTTGAAACTCGCTGGAACAGAATTTGCAGCTGCAAGGACGAGCTGCTTACACACGATCAATGTGCCCAGATGGGAGTACAAGTCACCCGTCTCGAACTCGAGACTACTCGTCTTGCACACGAAACTGAGCCTATTACTGATTCTAGCTCCGATTCTAGCCCTGCTTCTGGAGAAGTGCTTATACCAACTGCTGCCTCCTACTTCGAACCACTAACGGACAAATTTATGTTAGATCATCCTGTGGACTCGGACCGGGTTCAAAAGATATCGAAGGAGGATCCGGATTTTCTTGTCTTGAGGAACTACGATCCCGAGGCTGCTATAGCAGAAGAGAGGACACCGGGATTTCGCCAGAAGTATTGGCGCCCAAGTGAATGTCTTTTGGAGGTTATATCTGTCTTAAAGGACCATATCTTCCGTGTACCACGAAAGAGCGATCGAGGCTATATTGGGCAATCCCTGATAGACATTGTCGATTGGATTAATGTCAAGTGAGTTTTGTTATATTGTACTATTTCAGGTAACAAACTATATAATATACTAATAGGTCTTGGATTTACAGTCACGAAGTCGCATTATCGCAAGCATTTTATCTACCGTCGCGGAATCTTCAAGACAGTATACACCCGGTTAGGCTCCTCTTCGAGGTTAAAGACTACATATACCCACACGTTACCATGGCTGTTCAACATAACATCAAAGAGACTATAAACGATAACCTAATACTGCGCCATGAGCTGGCTTATATTCTGCAAGTGATGAGAACCCGTCTGAACGAAAATTTATTTGATAAGCAGCCGCAACCGGCAAGTCCAGCAACTCTTATTAATCTATATTTAAAAGCTAACTGGTGGTAATTCAGGTTCTAATGTTATCATTTGTTGCCCCTCAGCATGGTCGAATCTTAGAAGCCTACATTGAGGACCAATATAGGGTCAAGGTGGCATCCAGCCGTCTGTATAGTTTTGAGAAGAACTCAGCAGCGCCTTTTGAGCTGTTTTATCGCTGGTTCCTTGGCCGGCCCATTGGTGTAGGACGGTCGCAACCAAGACCACAACCGGATTTTTGTTCTCTCGGAAGTGAGTCAGAGGAAACTGAAGATGCTTGATTAAGGATCGATCTAGGGAGATGCTCTAGCGGGCCTTCTAGCTAAATATCTACCTAGGTAGTTAACTAGTTAGTAGTTAGTTAGTTAGTTAGTTAGTTAACTCCTGAGCTGATTAAGCACCTGGCTAGTGGCAGGAGACCGTAGCATTAGAGGGCCCTAGGGATCTGAAATGTTCAGAACCTCACGATGGCATACATGGAACAGATTGGATTGCTTGAGTTGGACAGTTTTGTGCGAAGTGAAATGATAGAGCGCTTCTAGTCATGTTATCTAGAAATGCAATTCTGGTGCTAAGCCTATCAGACAGTATGTCTATCATGCCCTCTATATGTATGCATATATGCTTTCGGGACCCTCGAGACCTCCCCACTATAGCCGGCTTATTCAGTTCAGGAGTTCACTAGTTAACTAGGTAACTCTAGGTACCTAGGTAGGTAGTTAGATAGTGTAAGGAACCCGGGGCGGGGCGCCAGCCTAGAATCCCTGGAACCCTTCAGCCAAAAAGACTGCACGCAGTGATAGCCCGCCACTAGGTTACCGCACCCTTTATAAATATCTTAGACTCCCGAGAGATCTGCTCCAGATATCTAGCTTGAGTTCTTGTAGACTCCGCACTTCAATAACCTCGAGGAGCATTGCTAATGCTAGACGTGATAGTATCGCAAAACTCAGCGTAGAGTTTAAAGCTTGAGGATATCAAGATCTGAAAGAGGAATACTTGGAGTTTGAGTTTCGAATAGAGTTTGAGGATAAGCTTTGTCTTTTATATAACTAATGTGATTATGTCTGGAATCTCGATTAATAATTAGACCTTTTACAGAACATCCTACTTTTCTTCTAGTCACTGGGAAATTACCGCCAGGAAATTAAGAGCAGGAAGAGAATTAAAGAAGTAAACATACTAAAGAGAAGTAAGAGAAGATAGGAAAAAGTAAATAACCCGGGAGAATGGGTACCGGGAAGTAAAGGTAGTTTAAGTACTTTGAGAAAACGAGAAGGAACAGGCTAACAGACACCTATGCAAAGACAGACAGAAAGAGCAAGAGAGGGAGACAGGATGGAGAGATGTCTGTTTGCCATC